TTGGACGATTTAACACAGTTTATTGTTGTTAGAACACTGTTAGTATATGAATAAATATTTTTATATAAATATATCTATTTATATGTATGAATATTTTAATCATATATATATATATATATATATATATGATTAAAATATTCATACATATAAATAGATATATTTATATAAAAATATTTATTCATATACTAACAGTGTTCTAACAACAATAAACTGTGTTAAATCGTCCAATTATAACATATCTCAGGAAACTCAAACAAGAATGTTTACAAGAATTTCTTTAAATTGATAAATATATTAGTAGAAATGTTTAGTATGAATCTTATTATAAACATTTTTATAAAAATGTATAAACATATTTATAGAAATGTATAAAGATATTTATAGAATATCTTTAAATTAAATTGCGAAATGACCAAGTTTTCAGTCATTCTAAACATGGGAAACTATTATTGATTAATATTCTGTCGAGCTTATATTCTTATTGTTTTTTTAATACATTTGTTATAAAATGTTTAAAACTGATGAACCACACATAATGATTAAGGAAATAAATTTATTATTTTAAAATTATTAAAATATCTCATTTAGTAAAATCGTGACAAAAATATTGACCAGAAGGTTTATCGACAATAATAAAAAATTAAAAAAATTTATATATTGTAGCACATAATATATAATCATATATAAAATATGTAAGATTAAATACAGAAAATTAATTTTTTATATCTAGCTGATTTTTTAATCCAGCTGTGATAAATATTACTTATTTTTACTTTAATATTATACTAAATAACTATAGGTTTAATCGCTTTAAATACTTAAAAATTTTAATTGTATTTTTATATCAAGTTTTAAAATAATTTATTTTATTATTAGTTTTTTTTAGAAACATGAGGTTCTACAAATTGTTCATGAGAAGATTCGAGGAATAAAAGTACAATTATATATCACAAGTATAAAATTTATGTAACTCTAAAATAAATTACAAAGTTTGAAAAAGTATATAAAAATAGATGTCATTATTATTACTTTAATTATATTCAGTTATACGTAAATTCGCCGATAATAAATATTACGTTTAGATAAACAGGACTGCGCATATACAAAAATTGTCCTAAATTAATGTATATGTGGGAAATATATAACATTTTATAAGTATATGTATAATTATAGAGATCCAATATAAAGAGATATAAAGTTACTTATGTCAAATAATAGTTTTTTTCACGTGATGAATATTGGATTTTATAATGGTGGTTATAGAATGCTGATCTAATATATTAAAAATAACGTACGCATTTATTTGAGCAAAAGTAACATTCAAATAGAACATTTGCATTTGCTGTTATCTTTACTTGGCAAGATATTCGTCTTAACTCTATTTCCAGGAACCCCATTGTGAAATGATTAAAACAACCATTTAGACACACACAACAATATGTAGCATTATCCAGATATTGGACCAATGTACTTGGTATCACACTAGCATCATATGCTATCCTGTGATAATATTAAAATTATTCCAAATTAAATGTCATATACATTGATCATTACATGTACAATGGAAATAAATAAAATAAAAAATAACAAACCTGGTTTTTAGGAAGGCTACAGCTGCACACTCAACTAAACTTGGTGTCATACTTATATGATTGTATAAAATATTACGTCGAAAAGAAAGAAATGGATTGTTTGAAAGATCTAAATAATCTAGTTGTAGACTTCTCATGCTTCCTGGTAGATTTGATAAACAATTTTTGGCTACTTCCAGATATTTCAAATTCCTTAATCTTCCAATACTTTGTGGCAACTGTTCTAATAGATTTTGGCAAATTTGCAATTTCACCAAACCACTTAGTGCTCCAATTTGTACTGGCAATTCACTTATCTATAAATAATAATAAAACACCAATTATATGCCAACTTTTAATTTCTTCACAGGTAACAAAATTTGTTTCAACAAGTGCTAGTCTTGTAGTATCTCAATAGTTGGATCAACTTACTAAATTTCTCGTTATATCTAACAAACGTAAATTCTTCTTAATTTCAGGTTGATTAATCCATCTCCAATCTAATTGAGTTTTTCCTAGGAAATTATGTGCTAGAATAAGCTCTTGAAGATGTTGCAAACACCCAACTTCCTTAGGTAAGGAATGAATCTGATTATTTGACAAGTTTAAAACTTTTAGGAATTTTAAATTCAAGATTTGTCGATCAAAGGATTTTTTATTTAATCCTATTATAGAAAGTTCTTCTAATGTTTTTGGAAAACCTTTTAACACTGGGTATTCAGAATCTTTCTTAATCACAAGCTTATTACTGTGACACAAGCTCATATTTTTCAAGTTTAAATTTGAGATAATTGGGAAGGGTGATTGGTCAATTTTAAACAATCCAAGCTTTAGTACACGAAGAAAACTTTTTAACTGAATAGTTTCACTTTTAATAATTAAATCATGATTAGGTTCTTTCAATCTTATTGTGGCTTTACCATCATTAATAAACCTTGTAAATACTTTTTCTATGTTGTCGCGAGTCTGAAAAAGATGTAAAAGAAAATAATTATCTCATAAGTTACTTTTCTATCCTATAAAAAATAAAGATGATCATGTTACAATGTACATGTTTAATACTTTGAGGACTATAAACACTACTGTAAGACATCGAAAAATATTTGCCAATTTAGTACAAATTTCATGATTACAGGATAAATCTAGGATTAAATATCAGGAATATTTGTAATACCTTGTATTTCGTTCCCTTCTTATTTTGCAAAGTTTGCAGAACAATGCATAGATCGTCTTTGTCAGATTGTCTACCAATTGTTAGTACAGAACGTTGCGATTTTCTTTGCGATACTAAAGGTAATGCCCTATTGTATACCTCAACATTACAATGTAATTTCATTGTTTATTGTTTTTATTTATATTAACACTGATAGAATCAAAATTGAGGTTTTGAAAATAGATATCAAGTTGACAATTCCACGACAAATTCTTATGCTCCGGGACTCGCTCGTGATCTAAAAACCGGAGGTTATAATAATTACAACAATTATATTTGTTAGTTGCTTTCAATTCGATGACTTATTCGTTGGATTTATAAATTATTACGATGTGTACCGGTTAGTTGAAATATTTCGTAATAAATAGGAGAATTAGCGCGCAAAACGACCTAACTGTTCCTATAAACTTTCATGTGTCATCTAAGGCTGCGTTCCGAAATGCACTGCCAGTACTGAAAATCTATTGTTCATGTTACGATATTATAGAATTTATAGAATATTATAGAATTTTAGTACTGGCAGTGAATTTCGGAACGCAGCCTACGACTACGTTCAGATTTTTCTTCCGGGTGCACTCTATTACTAGAAACACTATAGTATGTTACATATACTGTAGTACTTCTAGTATTAGAGTGCACCTGGATAGGGAATCTGAACGCACCCTACAATGACAGTAGGAGTAGTAGTAAGAAATGAGCAGTAAGCAAATTGACCAATTCCATTCTCACGATTCAAGAATAATCGATTGTGATTGGTCCATTTACTTACTGATTATTTATTACTACTACTCCTACTGCCATTGTAGACGACACATTAAGGGACGTTTACATTGGAAGTAAGCAATAAGAAGTAGGAAGTAAGAATAAGAAATTGACCAATCATAGTTGATTATTCTTCTCACATTCGACTGTGGTTGGTCAATTTCTTACTCTTATTTCCTACTTCTTGCTATTTACTTCCAATGTAGACGTCCCTTTATGCGTCGTCTACAATGGCAGTAGGAGTAGTAATAAGAAATAAGCAGTAAGTAAATTGACTAATTCCATTCTCACGTTTCAAAAATAATCGATTGTGATTGATTTATTTACTTATTGCTTATTTCTTATTACTATTTCTACTGACATTGTAGACGCTCATTAAGATAGTTGTTTTCCAACTATGGTAGTCAAAATTATATTTTAAATAAAAGGTTCAACAACCAATGAATTCTTTTAAGTGAAAATGAAAAATAGATTTTTAAATATTATTGGTTCTCTCAGAATAGTAAAAATCGATAAAATAAATGAAATGATAGAAAAAGAAACAGTATGCTAAATTGCGTTGTAGTCGCGGAACTATAGATCGTGACAACGTCGCATCTCCATTTTACGTGTTACTTTTTATACGTAAGCGCTATGTAAAATATGGAGAAAAAGAATAAACTATAAGCGGTAATTTCCCAGAAACTATATGGTCAATTGAATATTTAACACACATACGTATTAATACCTAAATTAATTTTGCTACAAGTTTCAAGAAAATCTGGGACTTCACTGACTAAGTTTACACGGCAACTTAAAACCGGTTTAATAACTACCGTAGTTAGTAAACTCTTGATTCGATTGGAATATATTTCTAGATCTAAAAGAATATATCAATCGGATGCGAGAGTTTACTAAATACGGTTATTACTAAACCAGTTTTAAGCTGCCGCGTAAACTTATAGCATGTTCGACTGGCTCTGGGTTAACTCATTCTGGGTTATTCAGCCTACGTTTATTGGTCGAACAAGTACTTATAAGCTTTATGATTGGCTAGTAGAGACTTATGACGTCATTAATCGCTCTCGGAGCGATTAACCCAGTCGAACACGCTAACTGTTTTTGACTTAACTACTTTATTGCATGGTTAAGAACCTGGACAGTCTATGTTTTCAATCACGCAATTATGCGCTTAAAGCCCGTATCAGACTACGGATTAAGATTGAGATTGAATTGAAAATTGGCCAATCAGAACAAAGTTCACCAAACTTGAGCTTAGTGAATTTTGCTCTAATTGGCCAATTTTCAATTCAATCTCAATCTTAATCCGTAGTCTGATACGAGCTTAACACGGACAAATCGCCAGAAAATGGGCATAGAATGGACACGCAACAAATCGACACTTTACTGGCAGCGTCTGAAAATGGGCGTAGGGAATGTAGTTCCACCTAAAAAATGGGTGCAGATGGCGCATCGAACAGCATGAAAATCGGTATCGGCCAAAACGTATGGCGTGGCCGCTCTCAGGTTTCTCTCTGATACCGACGATATATATAAACAACAGTATATTAAGCTGGTATAATACTCATCAGCAAAACGTATTGTATTGATAGAATGCGTCGCTGTTGATATACATTTTCGATATTAATAGCGTGTTCGACTGGCCCTGGGTTAATCGTTCCGAGAGCGATTAATGACGTCATAAGTCTCTACTAGCCAATCATAAAGCTTATAAGTACTAGTTCGACCAATAAACGTAGACTGAATAACCCAGAGTGGGTTAACCCAAAGCCAGTCGAACATGCTATAAGATTATCTAATAGAAAGTTATGGCTCCTGCACACAGAACGCGGTAATGCTTGCCGCGCGGCGGAAGTTCGCGCGACAGCCAATCAATATGCTGCTTTCCGTAATAACCTTCTAGCTCTTACAGTAAAACAACATATTGATTGGCTGTCGCATGGACTTCCGCCGTGCGGCAAGCTTTACCGTGTCCTGTGTGCAGGAGCTATTACTATTTAGTACGCGTATCAAGTGCACGATGTAAACCAGGCCAGTAATGGCTCCTGCACACAGAACGCGGTAACGCTTGCCGCGCGGCGGAAGTTCGCGCGACAGCCAATCAATATGTTGTTTTTCCGTAATAGCTAGAAGATTATTACGGAAAGCAGCATATTGATTGGCTGTTGCGCGAACTTCCGCCGCATGACAAGCATTACCGCGTCCTGTGTGCAGGAGTCATTATACTTGAAATAATTGTGTATACGTAAGTTTTACTGCGCAAATTTAATCATACCATAAAATATCTGCGCAGTAAAACTTACGTATACGCAATTATTTCAAGAATAATGGCTCCTGTACACAGGACGCGGGAATGTTTGCCGCGCGGCGGAAGTTCGCGCGATAGCCAATCAATATGCTGCTTTCTATAATAACCTTCTAGCTCTTACGGAAAAACAACATATTGATTGGTTATCGCGCGGACTTCTGCCGCGCGGCAAGCATTACCGTATTCTGTGTGTAGAAGCCATAAGAACCCTGGGGGACGATTGTGTATTTCGAAACGAAGTGAAAATTACAAAAGTGAGCAAATTCACTAGGCATTGACCAATGAAGTTACAAATATTCTAGTAAATTTGCACATTTTTGTCATTTTCACCCCATTTTGAGATACACAATCGACCCCCTTCCATAAATACGAGTCCGTCCGACTAACCGTTGAATCGTATTACTCAAAAGAGAGAGACAGAAAGCGTCTGACCAACTGTTGAGCCATTTCACTGAAATTCTCTGGTGTAGCTAAAAAGAACGATCCATACGTATTTATATACTCGTGTCGAACGGACCTAGAAGCCATTACGAGGCGGGAAAAAGGCAAATCGGGCGGGAATGTCGCGGCACGCCGACGTGCGGGAGAGACTGTACCATCGTGAATCGCAGATGGACGTATGTACGCTTTCGCGGGAGATGGCGAGTCGCCCGACGTAAATTGTGAATTCTCGTCGGGCTCGTCGATTCGACAACGTTGGAAAGATTGTTTCGCGACATTGGCTAGTGATCACCGATCATCTGATCGTAGAGCGGAACAGACTCCGCGCGAGACTCCGTAGTTACACACGCACATTCCACTGAGTGGCTGTACCACATTCAATGACATTTTGTTCGGGATCGATCGGTCGTAGCAACTTGCGTATAAATCCACTGAGTACGACGTTTCATCGATAAAATCGTCCATAAAGGTGAGTACTTCAATTCACGGTGATTCACGGCCGATAATCTGCGCAATTACTCGCAATTTTTCTCGTGTTTCTTTTTTTTTCTTTTCTCTTAACGCCGAGCACAACAATGTTACGGCAAATAAATGAATACACGGGCGTCGAGGTACGTGTACATGAGTAGAAAGTAATCACATCTGGCATCACATTTTCTACGACTATGTATTGCAGAAAATGACATGATCGTTCTCGTGCTGCTTCTTTGTAACATTTGCGAATATAAGATTGCAAGGAATCTCTTTGTGCGTGTATATGTATATATACAGTAGAATATATATATGTATATATATATGCACAATAGAATATATATATATTCTGTTTGTAAATTTAGAATCATGGCACCTACTGTCCCAAGTGAACCAAGCTGCAGCAACAAGAGGGTAACGCGCAGCAGAAAACTCACTGACAAGGAGGAATATGGTGCAGCAAGTGGTTCAAATGCTGACAAAACTCCATCTGTCCTAGACCTGTTTGCCAAACATGTTTTAAAAAAAAAGAAACTGAATGTTGAAAAAATCAGTGAGACAGAAGCATCAGTTCCATTGCATGAAGAAAAACATAATGGAGGACTAGATTTAAGTATTACAGTAGAATTTGATAAAGAAAATCACAATCCTCAAATGAATCAAGATCAAACAGAGGAGCAGCTAGAGAAAAGGATAAAAGTAGAACATGAAGAGAAGCAGCAATCAATACCTGATGTTAAAGTGCGGGACACTTTACCAATCGTCAGTCGATGCGAATATTGTAAACAAAAAATAGACTTTGACTTAAAGTTGTATCAGGGGCACCCAAATGGTGCAGTAGAAGAGCAAATAGCTTTAACAGATCCCAAGCTCTGTTTATTCACAGGAGATGAATCTTTTATACATGAAAGTGACGAGAGACCACAAAATAAATTAACTTATTTTAGGTAAATTTTTATATACTTTTATACTTATCTTAGAAATCTTTATTGCATTAAGTTTATCTCTCATGCTAGTATATCAAACAAATTAGATATTTTTATATTAGTTATATAGATAAATAGAAATATAATTTTGTTTTCAGTGTTTATGATAAGAATGGGCATCTGTGTTCTTTTGACACAGGACTCATAGAAAAGAATGTAATGTTATATTTTTCTGGATACATGAAAGCCATTTACGAAGAAGATCCGTCGCCCGAAGGAGGTGTACCAACAAAAGATATGGGGCCAATAAATGAGTGGTATGTTTCTGGATTTGATGGAGGTGAATTAGCATTGATAGGTTTTAACACAGCATTCGCGGAATATATTTTGATGGAACCATCTGAAGCTTATGCGCCATTTATGGCTGCTGTTAGAGAAAAGATATACATGAGCAAATTGGTCATAGAGTTTTTGTTAGACGAAATTACTCCGAGCTATGAAGACTTATTGAATAAGCTACAGGTAAGTTTATCTCGCATATTATATTATCTTAAAATATATAATGCATGTTTTTACAATGCATCAATGATGTCATCATTTTTGCATTATTGCAGACATCAGTACCTCCTAAGGGTATGAAGAAATTCACCGAAGATTCACTGTTGCGTCACGCTCAGTTTATTTGTGATCAAGTGGTGTCTTTTGACGATTCCGCTGAGGTCGACGATGCTCTTCTCATTACCAGTCCATGTATGCGATCTCTTGCAAATTACGGTGGTGTCACGTTAGGCAAAAGAACGGCTGTACGTCGGCAACCTCCTCGTAAACAAAAAATGAAACAGCCTATCTGGACGAAAGCTACCACGACGAAATTAGTCAGCTATATGTTCGAGAATTTTTTTTCTGATCAGCTTGCTAAGCATGATGATGGTGATAAAATAACAATGGTATGTATGTGTATATAACTAAGTATATTATTCTTATCTGTGTAAATAATCTAAGAATGAAAGTCAAGTCTCTATAACCAAATCAAATGTCTTTTTTCCAACAGTGTCCTAAAAGACAACGTTGTGGTATTTGCGAGAATTGTCAGCAGCCCGATTGCGGCGCTTGTGTATCTTGCAAAGATATGATTAAGTTTGGAGGAACTGGAAGAAGCAAACAAGCATGTGTTAGAAGAAGATGCCCCAACATGGCAATTCAAGTAAAATATTCAGTTAAATTAATATAATTGTATTTTTGGACAAGGAAACATACATACACATATATATATATATATATATATATATATATATATATATATATATATAT